TACATTAAGGTCCAAAGGGTCCAAAATTAAACTTAGTTTGATTTTAGCAAAAATTGAATTCTTGGGGTTCTTTGATATGCTGAATCTAAACGTGTTTAGATTTTTGATTATGGGCCCAGTTTTCAAGTTTGTCAAAGTTGGGGTCCAAAATTAAACTTTATTTGATTTCAACAAAAATTGAATATATGGGGTTCTTTGATATGCTGAATCTAACCATGTATTTTGATTTTGGACATTGGACCATAATAGGTAATTAAAAAAAATCAAGTTCTTAGACCACATTCTTTCTGTGTCAGAAACCTATGCTGTGTCAAATATTTAATAACAATCCAAATTCAGAGCTGTATCAAGCTTGAATGTTGTGTCCATACTTGCCCCAACTGTTCAGGGTTCGACCTCTGCGGTCGTATCAAGCTGCGCCCCAGCGAAGCATTTTATTTTAAAAAGTGTACAGAAAGGATTGTACATGAAATTTGTAGTTAGTAAAAAACTCAGGTGAATGATGATATTCAGTATATATATATATATATATGTATAAATTTTTTTTTGGAAATAGTTTTACATCTTGTAATTGTTGCATTGAACTTACTGTAAGAGCTTTTTGTATTGCCTTCAGTGTTTCATTATTTTTCATTTGAACTGGTATAGTACTCATTGTAGGCAGTCGTCCCTCAAATCTTGTCAGTGAATTTATAGAACATTTAAGGGGTCTTTTTAGGAAACTTTTACTAGCCTGACAACATTTGTACTGGCTTGGTTATATTGATAGAGCATGTGGTTAAATCTGAAGACTGCTCAGTGCTGCAGGAAGTACTTTTCCATTCCTTATGTTCAATGAATACCTTACATAGAAATTCCTCAATAAAAATGGTTTTAAGTACAGTGAAGAACTAGCATGAAAAGGCTTACAGTATCCGGTCCTCAAAGGTACTGCCTCTTATAAAAGGCCTGTGCCAAGCATTCATTATATCATATATATACAGGTAATATACAATTTCAACCTTTATAATTATTACATAACATGACTTGTACAAGGCATCTTGAAAATTGTATGGTTCCCTCTAGCTTGTCTAGATGTGGTAATTTTGTAATTTGGTTACTGTCTTATCTACATCTTCTATTCATAATGTACACCCCTTTCCTTTTTAGCAATTATTATAAAAGTTTATATAGATATGCGTTTAAAAAGATTTACAATGTTTATTTTTCAAGAACATTTTTAATCCCTAATTACCATTACTATATTTAACTTTAGCATTTTACTGTAATATGTCTATTTACATGTCCCTTTTATCCAGCCTTCATTGAATTCAATGAATGACCAACTCTCATACATATAATGTATTACAAAATTATACAGAATTCCATTGTGACCAACTGTTCTGGCTAATGGTTATTTTAAAAAAAAATCAAATGAGGAATTGCACATGTGTGTGTAAAATCTTCTTTACATCATTGTACATGACCCAGAATTGACCATATCTTAAATAATCAGATGAATCCAATTTTACTACTGATTATAACAGGGTTTTTTTGGTCAAATAAACCCAACATTTTAAAGCTTAAAAATTAAGAAAAAGAAACAATGTAAAAACATAAGCGCCAGTCAAAAAACCTGCTCCTAAGAAATCCAAATTAGCAGTTTCATTTTCACCTGCATAAGCATTGTACATGTGTTAAATTAACATATATATATGACACTGCACAGTTAATATGTCAGCGAAGGACAATAGCATAACAATTTGTATAATTGCTAGCTATGAATTCTTCAACAACTTGCTGCTAAACACAATTTTCAGTTAAAGGAAACATGGTGGCCATATAAGGGGGAAAATCTGTGCTAACATAGGTAGGGAATTTATTTTATGTTTTATTTTTTTACTTTTTAACTAGGATACAGGTAAATTTCAGAACAGGGTATATTCCAAATCAGTACCAAATGAGCATTAATATTTACTGAACATTTTAGGAGAGAAGTAATAGTTATACACCGAGGGATAGGTGTGTCTGGATAAGAAACCCCTCCGGCCTCCGGCCGTCGGGGTTTCTTATCCAGACACGCCGTATCCCGAGGTGTATAACTAACTTACACCCCGTGCTAAACCCTATATTTCTTAACATTAATTACTAAAGGAAAAAGAATGGATAGCTTATTTATTTACAATATCAAACCATGATTTATAAGATTTTTTTTACATGAAACCCCACTAGTAACCTTACTTTGGCTATCTTCGTTCAAACTTTGACAAGTGAGTAGATTTTACAAATGTCAAAGATGCTGTTTTGCATATTTCCGTTATAAATCTTTGTGCTAATATGAATCAGCAGGTCAAGGTTGACCGTTTCGTGCATTCTTATTACAAAAAAAAAAAATGCTCCTTATATGCAGTTGTCAATATGAACGGGTATAAGACCTTTTTGAGTCAAGCGTTGGATTTGGTAGAAGAGACTAAAGATAAAGGCAATATAATAACCCAAAGTACTTACCTATATCAGTTTAATGAAGGTAATAATAAATGTATTTTATATGTTACGGTTTTATAACCCCCCCCCCACCTATTTTCAAGAATAAACAAACATTCATATTCGGACATACTGAGGATAGGTGTGTCTGGATTAGAAATCCGAGGACCGGTAATACTCAACATACAAAAATACAGATTGAATATTTAGGAACTCCCTTTTTTGTGGGGCAATCCAGGGGTGGAGGTACGTGAGTTAGAATCACCGTTTTTTTAAAGATAAATGCTTAAGAATAGAGACATATGACCGGGATCAGTGACTATCAATGCATTTGAATGGGGAAACATGGTTGGAACCCCCCTTTTTATCCTGGGTTGGGACCCCCCCCCCCCCCCCCCCCTTTTAAAAGTGGCTGAATCCACGGCTGGGGATCAAAAGTTTTACCTTCAAGCAGAGGAGTATTTAAAGGATTTTTTTTTATTCAAAATAGATGCTTAATACTTTTTTCGCTATTTGAATTTCAAATAGCGAAACAATTTAAAAAAAAAAACACATTTCAGGAAATTTAAATTGAATTTCCTAAAATGTGTTTTTTTTTTTTATATCTTGAAACAACTTGTAGTGAACACTATGAGTAATTTCTTTTGTTCATGCTATTTAAAAAAAATAATAAATTTCTATTGTTATGAATAACAATGGACTGTGTTTTCGGGATATAGAAGCAGGGGTTTCCAGAAACCCCACTCGTCACACCCTGTGGTCAAAATCCATTGTTCTTCGTTACAATAGATCTATTCAATTTACACTTGTTTCAGAAATAGAAACTATGAAGTATAACAATAGAACTGGGGTGTAAGAAAGCTAGATACATCATTTTGATTTGGTAATTGCCTGATTCAGTGTTTGACATTTAGACCACATCTCCAAATGTGTTTCATATTGCTAAGACACCTACACATGTTAATTTAGGTTGAATAACTATAATATTTATTTCCTCTTTTATTAATATATTTCATATAGCTAACTGGTATAAAGAGAATGAAAAAAAAAAACTTTAGTCTGGTAGCTGAACAAGAACTGTTGAAAATCAAATGTTTGAGATGTGCTTTATTCTTTATTTTCTGACCAATTCAGACAATTTTTGCGCAAATGCAAGAAAAAAATGAGGTTTGGGGGGTCTGAGGCAGGGATGGTTGGGAGGCAGGAAACACGCATATATTTTATTTGGCCTAAATATAAGTACAGGTAGAAACAAGAATTTAACAGAAGTGGTTAAGTGTAGGCAATTGTACACTAGTTTGATTTTTTAATGAGAATATAGGCTGTAATAAATAAAAAAAAGTATAGCTTCAATTGTAGTTGGTGTACTTTTACTTGTGCAAAAGTAATTAAAAAACTCCTGTTATAAATCGCTATAAATTTTATTATCAATATGCCAGATAAGTTGAATGGAAGATTGCATTCATCGGTTGTCTTTAAAAAACTTTAAAAAAAAATCTCAAATAGAAATAAAATTAGAAAGCAAATTGTACATTAATAACTATATACCAGTTAATTTTAAGTCCTCCATCAATGCTTCAACAAATGTCATAAATATATGCTGACAGTAACCAAGAGATATTTTGCCAGCAGTTTTTTTACATAAGACATTGAAAAGTTGCCAATTGATACAAGGTTCTTTTGAAAACCAGCAAAGAACTTTTATTCAGTGGTAATTATAATTGTTAATTGAAAAACTACTTATAAACACATGAAAGCTGTAAAATTCAGCACCACTTTTGACGTACTTTAGATATAACTTGCTGTATCATTTTAAAGCATATTGAAAGAATTAAGAGAAAACCATTTAACTGTGCATCAGAGATCATTTCTAGTTATGTCAGCTAATTATACTGTAAAACTATTGAGCCTCAAATCTGTTGCTATGGGCAACAAGAAATATACAAACTTTTTATCACTAAAACTGCTGTAGATGCCGACTTAGATAGTATGATTTCTTTATTTTGTCAGTGGGGAAGGTATCAACAGGCTGATTACTCTCTTGAGAGATTTGAATTAATGTTGGAAAGGGGGGAAATGTTTTTGAACATTTATATAGTGGGCATTTGACTTATGTGGCTAAAGAGGTCAAAGAAATTAAAATTATCTTCTTTTTCATGTAACTTTTTTGCAGTAGATATTGAGTCTTAATTGGTTTTTTTTATGTAATGCAGTTTCTTACATGAAAAAAAACCCACTATTATTTCCAATTTGTTAAATTTTATACTAGTTATTGTTGTTTTTATTCTCCCATCCTTGGAATCTGAATTTATTTGCATTTAACTTGTTAATTAAATAAGAAAGGAAAATTATAAATCTTTATGTCTATAGACTTTATACATGTATGTAAATCTAATTTATACAGTTAAGAAATGTACTCCAAACTATGTCTTACAGTATATTTTTATTAAAGAAATTTTCAAAACAGAGAACTGTATTTTCAAAAAAAATTTCAAATTTAGGTTTCCCCTGAAGGTTACCCCTTAAAAATCAACAAAACATCTTGATGCATGAATGTGTGAACTAATAAAAATTGGCAAGATGATGGATTTTATCATATGATCAAATACCATTTGAGATTTTCCCTATCACACCAGCTGTTGTAACCTTTAACCCCAGGACAAGATAGAAGATGGAAGAAATGGCAGTTAAATGTATCCCAGGGAGGGGAAATGTGATGCTGTATTAGTTCATAAGACATGGGAATTTGTACGATGGAAAGTGTTATGTTTGATTTGAGTAAAAGTCGTAAACTCAGAAAACGTGGTTCTTTACCAGAACTTTTTCATGCTTTTGAGGGCATGCTTTTTCACAGACGAGGATTAGTTGACAGACGCAATAGTATGTAAATTTTTGTTAAGTTTAAGATGAGGTTCTATAGTTTAGGAGTTTAGCATAATTTTATTATATATGTAAAATTGTTGAGGAAAGGTTTTCAGTATAATTTATAAGAAAAATTGTGATTGCCCTTTTTGTAAGAAAACTGTTTTTAAACATTTTTATTTTGTTCTTTTGTGTATAGCAAAGTAGTGTATATTTAACTATTTGGCAATTTTATTGCATTTTTCACATTTGATGGAACAAAAAATGTGTATCTGGTGTATTTTAACTGTTGTGGATTTGTGAGACCTCATAGGCATTAAAAAAATCCAGACATTTTAGATGTCTGATTATAACTATTGTTTGCTTTCCCCAAGCACAAACTATGTAAGCAAGGAATATCTGAAAGAAAGGAAAGTCAAGCTCCCTTTCAAAACGTTCAATATTTCAGTGAAACGAGAATTATTTTATGATGAAAAAAGTAACCAGTCCTCTTGCTTAATGTCCAAAGGTGGATTTCACCTGTTACAATACACTTCATGTCTGCTTTCCCTTGCCATGTTTGCAATTGCATTTGAATTTGCCCAAATGATTGAATAAGACGACATCATTGTTTATCCACAGACTTTAGATGTCTAGTAGAATTGTCACGAAATACTGAATGCCATAAATTATGATGGATGATCATTTACCCCTTGCTGTGTATTTCATATTACAAAGTTCTGTACTTGAGAAGTTAAAGGGTACTATAAGATTGTACTCTTTCTGTCAGACATTTGATGGGGCTGTCTGGCCCTATCACATATCTATAACTTCCACATTCTATTTTTTTACTAGACAACAGACATTAAGCATTCCTATGGGAACCAATTGTGCCACTCAGCTTGCTGGCTTATTCCTTTATTTTTATAAGGCATACTTCTTACATGAGCTTCTCAAGAAAAATGATAAGAAGCTTTCAACTATATCGGAGATATTCTTTCCCTGACTAATTCAAAGTTTGGTGTCTTTGTTGACTGCATCTATCCCAAATGAACTTGAAATACAGGCTACCACAGGTTCAGTTCAGTCTGCATCATATCTAAACTCATATCTAGAAATTGTCAATGAGGATCAGTTGAGAACTAAACTTTTATGGCAAAAGAGATGATTTCAATTTTCTCATTGTGAACTTTCTTTTTCTGTGTAGCAACATTCCAGGAGTGCCTGCATATGGAGTATATATTTCCCAGTTGATATAATGTTCAAAGGCATGTGTTTCCTATCATGATTACAAGGCAGCTTTTGCAAATGGTAAAGTTGAAGTAAGTCCTTTGAAAGTTTTACAGACTCAATGATGATTTGGTTAATTTATGTTTACAGGTAGCATTGTCATTTTGCTTAGTTTCTTCTGTTACTTATTCTTACATCAAACTTAGACATCTTTTGAACTGAGTTTTGGTAAGTCATGTAAGTCGTGTGAATTTAAAAAATATTTTGTTCATTTATTAGTGTTGTTAGTTTTTTTGATTTTGGTTTATTTGTATGTTTCAGAGTTTAGTGTTGTGTCCGTTGTGCTGAACTAGTATTATTTATTTAGAGGCCAGCTGAAGCCCACCTCAGGGTGCACATTTTCTTGCTGGTCGGGTTGCTGTCTATTTGACACATGTCCCGTTTTCATTCTCTATTCTTTTGGTTGAATGTTATGTAATATTTGTGAGAATGTATTTCTTTATTAATATTACTCTTGGAATATATCTATTATATCTTATCTGACAAATAATCAATTCAAGTCAATTTTTTGATAACTTAAGTTTGCTTAAGGTAAAGATAAAAAGGTAAAATTCATTTAGGATTCAATATCAAGTTATCAACTGTATACAATATAGAAATTAGAAGATGTGGTATAATTGCCAATGAGACAACTCTCTACCAGAGACCAAATGACATAGAAGTTGACAGCTATAGGTCACTGTACGCACAGTTTAAAAACAAACTTTAGTTAAAAAAATATGAAATAAAACAAATACAGCAATGCTTAATGCACTCTCAAGTTGATATCCTTCCAAGGATAACCCATGAAAGTGTTTCCTCCTATTACCAGTGGGGTCCTTAAGGAGCTACCATTTGATTTTTATGGGGGGACTAGGATACAATTTGGAAAAAAAAGGCAGGACAGGAGTTTTGCATAAAAAAAAAGAAGGAGGATGAGCAACTTGGCAAAAAAAAAGGCAGGATGACAATTTATGTAAAAAAAGTCAGGATAAACTAATAAAAAAAAGGCAGGACCGAATAGAGTGAAAAATAAAAAAGAAGGACAGAGATTACAACTAAAAATAAATGCAGGACAAAATTTTTCATCCTAGCCCCCATAAAAATCAAATGGTAGCTCCTTCAGCTTTACTAAATCAAACAAACTTTGTACAAGATATCATGTTGAATAAAGACAAGCCCTTTCAATATTTACAATTTTTACTAATGTCATATTTATGATGGCATACAAACATGATATCATGTGATCATAATATATCAATTAATATTTAAAAAGAAAATTCCCAATAAACAGTAAAATACATCAATATTACAATCTGGTCAATATTTATTAGGCTTGATCAAATTAAATAAAGTTACTAGTGTGAAATATCCAAATGAAGATTTGTGTAAATTGTTGATAATGGTGAAAATTAACCACTAGCATTCATCACAATACAATTAGGTTGTAAAATTTGAGTCAACATAAATATTTTTTATGCTTGAGTGACTAAGACAAAGTAGGTTAATCTAAAACATTTATATCAGAAGCCTATGATGACTTATCTCTAGTGCCTCTTGTGGAGAGAGTGCCATGCTCTCTGCACATTAAGAAGCCTTGCTCATTTTCTAGTGGCAGTCCAAATTTCCCCAACATTCATCCTGGATGGCCTCTGTGACAGGACCTATATATTGTATTGATTGTTAATTTGTTTTGTCCTGAACATGCATGAAATATTTGCCACTAGACATTAAGTAACCAACAATCAATCAATTATGATGATATATCAACATTTAGTCAATTCATTCTTGTTTTCCTTGTGGTAAATTTTGCAAATAGATCAACTTTAATGGTTCAGATTTTTTTTTTATATTTCCTTGAGTACAGGAAATCCTTGTTTTACAGACACACCATCTCATTTGCTGTAGATTAGTACATTTATTTTGTGCTGACAGATTTTGTTTCTTGAAATGTTCAGTGATATTGTATCTTCTCCATCTTGATAAAATTGAGCAAGACAGATGTCAGTGTGTTGCAGTCTTATCATGCTGACCCTTGTTTGACTGGACAGACAGATAGAGGCAAAAACAGATGATATAGGTGCCTTTGCCTCACAAGTTCCCCTGCTCCTGTAAGAGAATGTGCCTTAAATTTTTTTTCCCAACTGAATCAGAATTAAATAAATGGTCCCTAAATTGATAATAGTCTATGAACAAAACTGGCAAGTACATGTATTAAGCATTGTATAACCTGTTTTCCAAAGCATCTGTCCCTTCATGTAGCTGTGTTTCTTTTCTCAACATGTCTTTTATAAATGTAAACCACTGAAGTAGTCCTACCAAGCATGACAGTTACCAGAGTTGTTCCATTTTACCAGCAGGTCTGAAAGAAAAAAATTACAATACCGGTAGTCCTACAGTTTTTATGCCCCCGCCTCTTACCTTGTCTGTCTGTACGTCCCAAAATTGGTTTCCGTTCTCTAACTTCAGTTTGCCTCAATCAAATGTTATGAAACTTATACACAATGCTAATTACTATGAAACACAGACCAAGTTCTAATTTGGGTGGCATCACTTTTACAGTTCTCTAGATATGTCCCTTTATAACATTATATGCAAGCGGGGGCATTATCTGTGTCTCCATTTATTTAAATTTATTTCTTTAGGTTATCTTCCCCAAAGTCAAAAGTGCTTGCAATATATTTATGGAAATTGAAGTAAAATACTTTAAGCCTCTTAATCTAACTTTATGAACTTCACCTGTTTATTAGTTTGATTTAAAATTTGCATCAAAGCAAGATATCTGTGCAAAACTACAATGTTGAAAATTTTTGTAAATTTTGTAACACTCTGAGATTTGTTTTGAATGTTGGACATCATTAAAGATAATTTTATATGTAGAAATGTGACAGAGATATTTTGAATGTTGGACACCATAAAAGGATTTAGATTATCTATGTTTGTATTTGTTTCTTAAGTCCAAAGTTAACTGAAAGTTGGGTTTAAAATTGTGCATTTATATCCTTGTATTTTTAGTGACTCACTCTCATGGAAGATTTACTAACACTCAGATTCCTCAAAACTTTTATTTTGTCATTTGCTTCTACCGAAATAATTTAAATGAAAATAAGGCAGACAATTATTTAAATGGAAATAAGACAGACGACAAATAATTTGGAATCATTTCTCTCTGATTCCTTCCGCTTATTTTCAGTCCCGCTTATTTTCAGTCCCGATCCTTTTAGCCAGGTGTAACTTCGTGTGAAGCTCAAAAGAAGTGTTTGAGGGGTTAGCACAAGGGCAAACTAATTGGTTGTCAGCCTACTGAGTGTAAGATATTGATCAGACTCTGTAGCTGCACCTCTATGTATGATAAGACCATCTGTTTCTATGACCTGATAACTTATCTTTCTGTATAGAACCAAAACATCTTCTACAAACTGGAATAATTAGCCCATTTCTACAGAACACATCTATTTGCAAGGTCAATTAATGGTGTACTAAACACATTAACATTCCAATCAATTGAAAAGAAAGGATTAGTTTATTTGCCAGACTATTCTTTTAGAATCCCCCTGGTACACATATTTAATAATAAAAAATTACATCTGCATCACTAGTTGTGTATCAGACTCAAGGTATATATATTTACATGGCACTGTAGTTGCTGAGGTAATTTCAACCAATTGAAATATCCATTTCTGAAGGATGCATAATCTTGAAAACATATATTATGTGTGAATATATATAGTGGGGCTATATTGCATTTACATTTTCTGTCTGTTCGTCTGTCAGTCTGTTTTATATTTCAACAATTATTTCGGTCATGCATTTCTCAGGTACTTTTGAACATAATGACCTCATATTTGGTCAGCAGCTTGATAGTGATGATTTGTGAGCATTTTTTGGGTCTGTTGAACACCTATTTCCTGTTTACCTATACTGCAAATATTTCAATATGTTGAATGAACTCAATTTTTATGCCCCCGCCGTAGCGGAGGGGGCATTAAGTTTTACCCTTGTCTGTACGTCCCAAAGTTGGTTTCTGTTCTCTAACTTTAGTTTGTCTCAACCAAATGTTATGAAACTTATACACAATGCTTATTACCACAAAACACAGATCAAGTTTGAATTTTGGTAGCATCACTTTAACCGTTCTAGAGTTATGCCCTTTTACAAATGGAAAAATTACTGAATTTTTCAATTCCGTTCTCTAACTTTAGTTTACCTCAACCAAATGTTCTGAAACTTAAACACAATGCTTATTACCACAAAATACAGATCAAGTTTGAATTTTGGTTGTGTCACTTTAACCTTTCTAGAGTTATGCCCCTTTACAAATGGAAAAATTGCTAAATTTTGCGTTTTCGTTCTCTTACTAAGTTAGCCTCAACCAAATGTTATGAAACTTATACACAATGCTTATTACCACAAAATACAGATCAAATTTGAATTTTGGTGTTGTCACTTTTACTGTTCTAGAGTTATGCCCCTTTACAATTACAAATGGAAAAATTACTGAATTTTTTCGTTTCTGTTCTCTAACTTAAGTTTGCCTCAACCAAATGTTATGAAACTTATACACAATACTTATTACCACAAAAATCAGATCAAGTACAAAGTGGGGTAGTGTCACCTTTACTGTTCTTCAGTTATGTCCCTTTATAAATTTATATGATATGCAAGCGGGGGCATCATCTGTGTCCCATGGACACATTCCCCATTTATTTGTAAATCGGAAGTTCTAAAAGCTCATGTATTTATCAACTCATATGGGTGAACACTCAAGGTGTAATAATTATAATGATAAAGGGAATTAACTCTGTCACAAGTAATAAGTCATCATCCTTGAACTTAGAGGTGTTTGAGGTGCAGTGATTACACATCATAATGATTAGGATAGTACAATAAGGATGTTATGATTACAAACAAAAGAAATTCAGCAGATGATCTGTCATTCTGTATGTTTTGACAGTAGACTAATAACATCTGTACATAATGATGGAGATCTTACATTATTGTACATGGCCAATCACATCATCAGGTACATAGTAATTAACACAAGCCATGGACTGGTTCCAAAATAGTAATAAGTTGACTTTATTGTATTGTACTGGATTATGACAAGACACAGTCATAGGCTTTAGTCATAAAATAGATAAACTCTTCATAGATACCTAACTATGAACAAATTTACACCAGACCAGCATTTTGTCTATAAAGTCTCATCAGAGAGGCTCCAATAAAAAAACTCAAAAAGGCCAAATAAAGTACGAAGTTGAAGAGCATTTAGGACCCAATATTCCAAAAGGTTGTAAGTGGAAGGTGTGATGTTCAAAACTTACAGCCTATGTCCTATCAAAAGAAACTATTCAAAGAATCAGTGTTTTGTATACTATAAAGATCATATAGGTATAAGTCCTAGACTTAGGTCAACTTTGGCAATCTTATAACTTCTTGCAGAACTCTGCATAACTGACGAAGCAGGCTCTGAAATGCTTTCTTCCAATTTTTGAAATACGCTGTTGATTATGGAAATTGACTGGCTAAGCAAGTAATGTTACATTTGACCTTACTTTTTCCTGCATTAGATCTATACTGACTGGGTCAGGCAGAAGTATACATATTCCTCCTGGTGAAGACATGAAAATTAACCATATGTTTTAAAGATATAATTTTTTTGTTTGTATATTTTTCATGCCAAATGCAAGGATTTTACATACATTTAACTTATTTATGTGACTGCATTACATGCAAAGAAATGAAATATAGTTTACTGCACTTACTTTCTCTGTATTTGCGGTTATTTTAAGTCTGTTGATAAACATTAACCAACTAACATGTTGTACTTAAGTTCATGTTTATGCTTTTAAACACATTCAATTAAAAAAGTTAAATTACTTTTAAAGTGCAAGCTATACATCTTTGTATTTCATTGTTTACTTTATGAAAGCAGAGAACATTACTAAGGATAGTTGATTTTTCTTTACCAGTACAGGTTCAATTTATACTAAGGCCAAACATGTGTGTTTTGGGTTTCCTGACAGAACCTAAATTAGGACCTAATTTTCAACTCTGACCCTTAAGTTTTTATGAATATTGCATAACCATAAAATTGATACTTTAGACAGATTAGGAAAGTTAATAAACGTGTACGAAATTTAATTTAAAAATTATTTTTTTTAAATATTTTGTGTTTGTTTTTTTGTTTTTTTTTTATCAAGTCTCATTAGATAAGATAAATCAACCCACTTTTCAAAACCTTCCTGTTGTATTGATTTTTGAATTGTTCTTGACCTGAATATGCAAACAACAAACAATTAAAAGCAAATCCAGTTTTTTAGAAGTGAAAATCTCTATTCAAAGCTCAATGCATAAGAAACAAACTAACGGTAATCTTATTGCCCATCCCTTGTTGGTAACTGGTGCATTTTTTGCTTGTTTGTATTATGAATATACAATTGGTATGAGGCAGGTAACAATCAGTCAGTAATTAAAGTACATACTGGATTTTAAAGGGACAACACATAATTAACAATATCCCATTCATACAGCTGTATGTTTTGTTTGTGAGAAAGACTATTTGAGCACCCCTCCCCCAGCTTCTATATCTGAGTACTCATCCTAGTCTGCAGCTGTTTCTTAAAAACTAATAATCATGCAGCAATATACTTAGGTGGTCATATATGTATCTTGGAAAGACTGGCAATGTATGGTAATAGCAGGTATATATCTAATATTTATTGTTCAGTTCTCAGTATAAAGAGACCTTTATGGCATTACCATCCTGGGTAGAATGACAGCCAAAACATTGTATGCTCTTTTTCATAAAACATGGTCAAAGAATGAGTCTTTGATAGTATAGGAGCATTCTCTGGAAAAGTAAGGTACTCTGACCTATATTTTATGCTTCAGTTACTTTGATTACTTTTGTAGGTCTAATGTTAATCTTCAATACTAAGTGACCTGCAATCATATATATTGATGTAAGGTTAAAGGAGGTAATTTAAAAGAAGAGCAGTCTTACCATATTTAACATGTCAGTAATTTATAAGTTTTACATTTGAGTGCATTTTACAGATACTATTTGACCTATATACTCGTGACAATCATATAACTTGATGTAAGGATGCATTCAAAGATAAGATACATACATGCAGTCATCACATTTTAATCATTTGTACAGGGAAGTTAAAACTCAACTGTTCAATTTTTTCCATATGAGGTTTCAAGCCATATTTTTAGATAATGTTCAGATTAAGCTACCATATCAAAAGTTAAGAAATGTACAGGAGTTAAAGATTTGTAGTGCATTTATTTACATTATGTTGTCATTCATTTCAGGATTTAGTGCTGATTTAACAGGAGTGAACACTGATTGGCCAATACAATTTCATGATATCCATGGTGACAATGTTGCTTTAAGCCATGACAAAGCAAGAGCTCGCAGAGCAGATAGTTTCTGTAAATCTATATGCTTTAGTAATCGTCCAATAGCTATAAATGAAAGGGTTTATCTTAAATTTGTCCAGACATCAAGCAGTTGGAGTGGAGTGCTGCGGTTTGGATTTACAAGTCTGGACCCAGGAAGTACACAGGGTCCAGACCTTCCGAGATATGCCTGTCCTGACATGACAAATAAACCTGGTAATTGGGCTAAAGCTTTAGGCGAAAGATATGCTGCAATAAACAATGTGTTGCATTTCTGGTACAACCGAAATGGTGATGTTATGTTTGGTATTAATGGAGAGGATATTGGACTATTCTTCACTGGTGTAGCTACAAATACTCCTCTCTGGGCATTGATGGATATCTATGGCAATACAATTGAAATTGAATTTGTTAAACTAGGTGAGTTAAAATATGTCGCTATAAATCAACAAACATTGGCATAGAAAACTTAATAGGAAGGTAGAAATGGTCATTGTTTCTGAATATTTTTGTCTCGCCTTGACGGAGTCAAAAAGCAAGACTTAGGTATGCTGTTTTCGACAGCGGCGTTGACGGTTGCAGCGTCCACAATATATTAGTTTGTGATTAGGTCAGTTTGTTGGGAACCACTAATGGTAGATCAATGATATTTGTTATGCAGTTGTATTAGCATTGGCACATCTAATTTCCATGGAGATTATTTGGCCCCTCCCCCTCAGTCATGGTCCATTGACTTGATTTTTGTTTACTTTAACAAGTATTAGTTTGTGATTAGGTCTGTTTATGGGGAACCACTAATGGTAGGTCAATGAAATTTGGTATATAGTTGTGTTAGCATTGGCACATCTCGTTTCCATGGAGATTATTTGGCCTCGCCTCCTCAGGTTATGGTCTATTGACTTTCAAACTTTTGAATAGTTTACATGTATGTGATTAGGTCAGTTTAAGGGGGACCAGTAGTGGTAGGTCAGTGGTGTTTGTTATGTAGATGAATTAACATTGGCACATCTCATTTCCATGGAGGTTATTTGTCTCTGCCCCCTCAGTGATGGTCTATTTACTTTGAATGTTTTGCATAGTTCACATGTTAAAGTTTATGATTAGATCAGTTTAAGAGGAACCACATATGTTAGGTCAATGATGTTCAGTATGCAGTTGTATAGCATTTGCAAGTCTCTTCTCCATGTATATGGCCCCATCCCCTCATCATGGTTTATTGACTTTGAAACTTTTACATTGTTTACAGCTTAAAGTTGGTGCTTTGGTTAGTGTAAAGGGCAAATCATATGATAAGTCAATGGTATTTGGTATACAGTTTTATAAGCATTGGCATTTCTCATTTCCATCGAGATTTTTTGGTCCTGCACATTAGTCATGATTCATTGACTGTAATGTTTTTCATAGTTTACATGTTTAAATATTGCCTTTTGGATTCAATACCTAAATTACAAACAGGCAAGACATATCTCTGTGTCAACAGTTTATTATTGCTGACGGCAATACACTGTATTCTAAAAAAGAGAAGATGTGGTAGTATTGCCTATGAGACAACTATTATCCAGAGACCAAATGACATAGATGTAAACAAAAACTATAGGTCACCATATGGCCTTCAACAATGAGCAAAACTCCTTCCGTATAGTAATCTATTAGTATAATGTCAGTTTTAATTTTAAGGGCCAGTTCATTTACATAATTTACCATGGTAAGATCAATTCAAATAAATAATAAGTAAACTTCAGTTGAAAAACTGTGACTACTGTTTTAAGTAAACTTCAGTTGTAAAACTGTGACTACTGTTTTAAGAACATCTTATTCTCTACCAGATTTATAATTTTTGTCCTGTCAGTCAAAGCTTAATCTTGATCAGTGGAATAACAAAAAAAGAAAGAATATATATCAGTTTTGAAAAGAAAAAGCATTTTAAAACTTTATAAAATCTCTATCATAAATCTTAAACTCTGATTAAACAATACAAAATAATACTGTATCAGAAAATATTTACAATTACTGAAAGCAAGCTCAAAGTATTTGATCTGCTGTTGTCTAAAAAATTTGATGAAAAGATTGAAACAAAATTAAAGTACCAGTAATATCTTACATAAATGTACAAATGATGTAGTGGAAAAAACATCTCTTATCAAACTTTCCTCAGATGCATCCTAATCTTGCACTGCTTTGCTTCAAGGAGGAAATAATTGTATAAGGAAACGAAAGCATCTTATGTTTAGTACACTCAAATAAATTGTTACAAGTGAATAAAAGAAAAATCTTTTTTGGGCAACGGTTGTACTCTATATGATTTTTCTTCATGTATGAGTCAAACAATAGTTTTTTTTATAATTAAGCTATTTTACAGAATTTGCTTACACTTTATAGCTATAAAACCACTCACAAGTTTTGCACTGCATTGTTTTATTAAGTGGACTGATTTAATTTTTGATTCTGCCAATTAGAAATTTTCAAAATGTATTTTCTTCTTTGCATTTTGTAGTTAATTTCTGTTTGGTTTTTGTCTTATGGTCAAAATGGTATTATCTTAAAACAAAGATTTAATGATTTATATATGGTATATGTTCATGTTGTTCTAAATTATAATCTGTTTACATAAGAAAGTTATGTAAAATGTCAGTTGAAACCACATGAAAAGAAAATATTGAACTTTTGTTACTAAGTAGTTATATATAAATACAATATTACTATTAAACTCCCAAACACACATGCCACATGCAAGTAGATAAAAATCCAATTTTATTATGACCCAAACAGATGCAAGTATACAAAATCCCATTTTACTATGACATGTATTTATTTGTGTTTGATGTCATCAATGATATATTTTACATACACCTGATCTCAGGTTAACAGTTAAACCTATATTGATCACCTGAATGTCATTATTGATTTATTTATCACTCTGTCATGCTATATGATATGCATGCATGGGTGGTTTTCTTACCATATTATTGTTTATTAAGCAAATAAGTAATGTTTGTATCAAAAGAGTAATATACTACTTACATGACTTATAAACATGATAAATAAAGTACAAAAATGTATATGTATTCATATTTTTTTATGCTAAAAAAAGCAATATATATATTTTTGTAATAAAAAAAGAATTAACATGACCACCTGAAATTTTCAATTAAATGTCTTTTTAAAAATTCAAAGTCATAAATAAATGGAGGAATAATTTGTATTATTAAAATAAATATGAAATTGATTGTAGGTGGAAAAAATCTTATATAAATTTCTTTGACTTCCTTATGAATTGAAATAGATTATCTAACAAAAAGTTCAGATATTTTGTGTTGTACTGTAATAGTACAAATGTACATGTTCACTTCCTTTTTTGTTCAGGGATTAATATAGTTTTTAAGGGATTCTTTTAAGAATTCAGGGATGTTTTTGAAAAAGAAAAAGAAGAAGGGGTCAGGTATGATTATATTTAACTAATCTCAGGTGAAATTTTACAAAAGAAAGATTGAAAATCAATTGATCAGGTAGCTGAAGGTTCATAAACAAAGTTGTGAAATAGTTTTAGTTATTACTTTACATAGAAATACACAAATTATTAATATAGGTAGCAAGTACACATAATTTTGAAGTTACTGCTTTAAATTTAAATTGTAAGTTATGATTGCTCGAGAATTTCCTGGCACATACATGTTTAGGGTATTTTATGAATATTTAATATTTTGTAATTATGAAATTGAAAAGTCAGGTAAACTGTATTGACAGGTGTCATTTAAACATGGTAACCCAAATTCTCTTGTCAGATGAAAATAAAAATTTACTGTAGGTAAATGTAGATAATATTAAACAAGTCTAAATTGAAAACAACGTTATATTAAACATATATACATATAAATGATCTTCATAATTATATAAAGTACATTAAATATTGCATATCTGGTGACCTTAGGAAATAACCACTTGAAACATATAAGATAGACACAGAAAATTGATGATCGTCCAATCCATAAGATTGAAAGCAAATCTATCAAAAAACAATAGTCTTACATCCTTATTAATTTTTTGGAGTAGATTTGAATCCCTGTAAACATGGATTTGTATAATTAGTCTTACTATACAAATCCTTGGTCTAAAGCATACATATATATCACATTGCCACCCCCACATCAACATGAATTTTAAGGTTCTGTGTCATGATCATGATATATTATATCAGATTCTACTATTTGGATGTAACTTTTGAGATTTTGTCAACATTTATCCGTCATATCCAGTAAGAAATTTAGCTTTAAAATTGGCTTCCTTCAAAACTTAAAAGATGGAATTTATTAAAATGTATTGTGATGCCATATCCCTTATCATAACTTAACATCATATTTTTTTAGTGACACGATTGATGTCACACTGCTTACCCATTGGAACCTCCTGACACACCCTCCCCCCTACCCAAAGTTGTTTTGCAGCACTCGTGTACCTTTAAAGACTGTTTTGTCACAACCAGACAGTTATAACTGTTATGTAATTATAAAAAGCTAAAGAGTTTTCTATATAACAAAAAATATATAATGTTAAATCGTAATAATAAACTAGGCAAATTTAATGATTAAAGGTAGGTCCATTTGTTTGAATGTTCCACTTGAATGGAGTCCCATGTTACTAGACTTTCTTTACATCATAAGATTATTTGCATTACCTGAGCATTCTGAGGTCAAATGCATTGAGCATGAAACATGGTGGGTTGAATTAAAGGCAGGTTCAAACGAAAGATTTTAAAATTGGTATTTGCTGTTTCTCTGCTAAGCGTGCAGGAAAGACATGTCTGAGCTTTGTGTCAGAATGATGTGTCTATAACCTACATATTGTTATCTTGTATATGTAATATTTGCCGTCAGACAGTTTAGCATCAGTACATTTTACCTGACTTCTGCTAATGTCTGACAGACATTAATTATTATTGCAATTGGCTGGGTATGTAGAGAATTGTCCTAGGGGTATAGAGACTAATAATTAAATGTTCTAACTGCATTTATTACAATGCCATTATCTTCCAGCCAAGAAGCACACATATAATTGGTTATACCTCAGTAATTGAATTATTGGGAACATTATTATTACATATATATTTATAAGCAAAAAATAACATTTCTGTCTGCCTCATGGGGATTTAAACATACAGTTTACATTTGTAATAAATTTCCTCAAATCAGATACATACATGATACATGTATATCAAAATATCAAACGAAAGACATGTAGATAGCTAAAAAAAGATGTTTATGTTATACGGATGGCGTCACTTTAAGCTTTCTAGAGTTATGACCCTTTATAAATGGAAAAATTGCAAAATTTTAAGATTCCGTTCTCTAACTTAAGTTTGCCTCAACCAAGTGTTATGAAACTTATACACAATGCTTATTACCACAAGACACAGATCAAGTTTG